TGCCAGCATGATCACCCCCTATCATCCCCCTGCCAGCCAGTTGCCCCCAACTGCCCTCCCTGCCAGCCTGGTCACCTCCATGTGCCCTCCCCTGCAGGCCATCTTGTGACTACATTAGGGTGGCCATCTTGTGTGATGGTGTGATGGTTAATTTGCATATTACTGCTTTATTATATAAGATATACTCTATGAAATCATTTGAGTAGCTTCTCTGCTGAGAATTAGAGAAATAATGACTTCTATGTCAAGTGAGACAACTTATGATAGCTTTGCTGTGAATTGAGGATGGAATCATCTTTTTCCCTTTGGAAATGATTCCTTATTATGGTGAGAAGGGGTTCTCATTGTAATACCGCCCCCCCTCCCCATTTATTTATGGTTTTCTCATCTCCTGCTGTGGTGGAGTCACCGGATACAGTTGTAAATTACACCATTATTTTAGGAGCCTCTTTTGTAAAGTGCTTTAAGTTAAAAGGCACAGCCTAAATTCTACGGTAAAATGTATATAAATATGTGCCTTAGAATAAAAAATATATAGGATGGGCAAAAGTAGGTTTATTGGTGATAATAAAAAACTCTGTGCCAAAGTGTACTTGCGTTTATCAAGTAGACCACAAGAATGTGTAAATAATGAAGGCCAGCAATGTGAACACGTACAAGATTGTACCTAAGTGCAGTGTCATTGTGACAGTCCTTTGAGTTAATAAAGCTACTGTAATAATCACATTCTGCATGTCTTTTTCCATACGAACAACTGTAAACTTGCTTTTTCCCATCCCTAAATATGGGTCATGTTTTCTTATTCTATTCAGCTACCCTATGTCTTTTGATTAGAACATTTTATCCATTTACATTTAAGGTTATTACTGATAGGTACTTATTTATTGCCATTTTTTTTCTTTATACCTATGATCTTCTCTTTCTCTTGATTTTTTTCTTCTTAAAGCAGTCCCTTTACCATTTCTTGCAATGCTGGGTTGGTGGTAATATACTCTTTAACTTTTTTTTTTTTGCCTGGGAAACTCTTTATTTCCCCTTTAATTTTAAATGATGGCCTTTCTGGATATATTATTCTTGAAATTCAGGTCCTTGCTTTTCATTACTTTGAATACTTCATGCTACTCTTCTGGCCTGAAGTATTTCTGCTGGGAAGTCAGCTGACAATCTAATGGGACTTCCTCTGTTTCTCTTTTGATACCTTTAAGATTGTTTTTCTGCCTTTAA